ACTCCGATCCACATTCCCAGCAGCGCCCTGGGCCAAGAGGAGCATGAAGAAAGAGGCAATTAGCCCCAAAACGGCAGCCCGTGCCGTCCTGCCATCCCCAACATGGCCTCTTTCCTTTTGCCTTGCCCTTGCCCTTGTCCTTGTCCTTGTCCTTGTCATCCACGGTGCTGGAGTGATCGTCAAGACGGGCCACCTTAGGCTGGGACGAAAGGGGCTGGGCAAGCTGAGCCGCCTCCAACTCACCGAGGATGAGATAGGCGTAATCTTCAATGTCCACCGCTGTTGCTCGGTACTCAAGCTGCCTTTCCAGCCTGAAGGAAGCAATCCTGAAGGACGCCGAGGGATGCTTGTTGCCTGAAAAGGTAGCACTCACCAGCTTGTCAAGCCCTCTGCAAAGCAAACTGGGATCAGGAAGAACCACCTGCAACTCGCGACCCCGACGAAACAAGCGGATCCACTTTCGGGCCAAAAGGAGAGTATTCTCCAAGCCATTGCCCGTCTCCGGCACCGTGAGGAACTGCAAAAGATGCGCTTTTTCTCCGGCTCCTCCTGGCTGGTAAGCGCAGTGCACCATGAACACCATTGCTTCTGCAGTGACAGCTCGAGCACTCACCGCCTCATGACGCAACTCCTCCGGAAGCGCGTCCAGCAAAAGCATAGCCGCCCGCTGCTCCACGCGATGATGCCGATCAGGCGGTGGACGCCGTGTCAACACCTGCTGACGGATCGTCAGCCGCGCCACTGGGGCGCTTTCCAGCCAAAGCCCATACAAATCCTTGACCCGCTCCATCAGAGACGACCACCAAGTTGCCGCCGTTGATGACAACGAACTCATGCTCGGCTCCAGTTGAGCCAACCAGTCACCGGCCACCACCGCAGCATCACCCCCTTTTGCCGAGGGTAGCGAAGGAAGACGTGTAACCAACTTCGATGGCTCCTCCACGTCATCACTCATATTCCCACCTCCAGACACCGTAGAGCTCGTCAAAGGCGTAGAAGGAGGAGGCGGAGGAATCGGCGTTCCTCCTGGCGTCAGGTTCGCGCTCCAATTCATAGCTGCAGCCTTAGGGGTCGTTGGTGGATAAGGTGGCGGAGGTGGTGGACATGACGTAGAGACCGGTGACGAAGTAGTCCTACCAACCCCACTATCGTAAACTGGCTGCACCACCATTTGCCCTCGCACCATGCGGTATTCGCGCCACACTCCATCCACCATAACCAAACCCACTGGAGGAGCACCAATCACCAAACCCCCACCTCCGCGGGACACGTTTGGTCCTGACTCCAAAGGTGGCTGCAACGCTGCTACAGACACTGGCGAACCACATACTTGACCCATTTCCAACGTAGGACTCGTCTCCTCGACCCCCCTGGGATCGCGATACCATCCAAGCGACGCTGAAGCTTCCTCAATACCAGGATGTGGCAACGACCCCTGAGACATACGCTGAGTCACCGCCGACATACTTTGAAGCTCCGATGCCTGCTGAGGTCTGGGTATACTGGACAGCTCCGTTGCCTGCTGAGGTCTGGGTATACTGGAAAGCTCCGATGCCTGCTGAGGTCTGGGTATACTGGAAAGCTCCGATGCCTGCTGAGGTCTGGGTATACTGGAAAGCTCCGATGCCTGTTGAGGTCTGGGTATACTGGAAAGCTCCGATGCCTGTTGAGTTTCGGACACGCTTGACTGCTCCATTGTCCGCTGAGGCCTGGACATACCCGAAAGCTCCATTGACTGTTGAGACCTTGACATACTTGAAAGCTCCATTGACTGCTGAGGTCTGGACATCCCCGAAAGCTCTATCAACGGTTGAGACCTTGACATACCCGAAAGCTCCATTGACGGTTGAGGCCTTGACATACTCGAGAGCTCCGATGCTGGGTAGGGCCGGGACATACTGGACGACCCCATCACCTCCTGCTCTCTTGAAGGCAACCTCTCCACTTCCATCGGCTGAGGCCAGTCCTCACCCATAGGCAGACCATCCAAAGCCAGAGGTGCATTAGCTCCGGCTAATGGTCCCAGCAGTGCGCCCGGCACCCCACGTAGAGCTTCTTCCATTCGACGCCGAGCCGTAGTGCTGCTATCGCTGCTGAAAGTCCCTTCCAGCATTCTTGACACAGGCGCCAAAGGTCTCCACTCCATTCCAGGGGGCGGCTCCATACCGCCAAGCGGCACACCACTTCCCAAAGCCAGCGCAGAAACTTGTCCCCCAAGACGATCCACCTCGTCCCAGCTGGGGTGCACACCCGGCGTGGCTACGGACGGAGTAAGTTGAGAGCCCTCATCCGTGCTTTGAGGCGCCACCGAACCACTCGTCGATTGACGCTGCTCTACTCGGTCCACCCGAGTCACCAAGTTGGTAAGCAAACCCGTCATATACTGCAGCGAACGCGATATCTGGCTGACATCCTCCTTCCTCTGCTCTGGAGAAACCTGTCTTGCCCTTTCCGCACGCCCACCTTCCGCAGCGGTTTGCAAACTCGTCACGTCCAGCTCAACAGGTACAGGTCGCTGCCCGCCAGCGGTTGATCCGGCCGAACGCGCCTGATCAACATGGCTTCCCTGGCTTCCGTGCTGTCCCTCATCCTGTTGAGCTATCTGTGACACTGGTGTCTCGTAGCAGGGCTCATCCATCGTCTCGTCAATCTTCACCTCCTGACGATGCCTTGCCTCCTCGGGCACTTCTTGAACGGAAACATCCTCATGACGAAAAACACGTTCCTCAGGCTCGCCGCCTTCCACAGGAGGTCCGTCCATGAGCCCTGTCTACGCTACCTTCCCCAACGTCTTACGGGCTCTAGAAGCCCAGCGTTGGGCTCATAACCTTCGAATCACAGAGTGCGCTTTTTGAGCTTGAAAGCCTGCACGGTAACGCTCTTAGCTTGACATGTCACCAAACTGCACAGACTAATTATTGAGGCCCCTATATTAGAAGCCCAAAGACTGCGAGAGCCTTGGGCGGTTCTCTAAACTAGGGTTTAGGGTTTAGGGTTTAGGGGGGTTTAGTCCCGAATCTAGTACGACACCCTATATGAACAGGACCCTTAACAGGGGCCCTAATTTAGAGAACCACCCCGCTTGGCATTTGGTTCAGCGCCGTCTTCTATGGTAGCTCAGCCTTCAACCTCACAGCTTTCCCAGATCAACAGCTTGCAGGGCCTAGTGTCCACCTTTGGGGTTTGTGTCCCGGGGCGAGTCTCAGGCCAAGAAGAAGGAGGAGGACGACAAGAAGGCTGAGGCAGACAGCTAGAAATTTGGCGGATCTGTGTTCTGCTATGGGTGAGCCCATGCGGCAAGCGCTACTACATGGGAGGTAGGTCGGTTAGTGATTGGGGGAGCGATGTGTTAAAAGCCCTGCTTGCGGATATGGTATATAATTCGTGCGCCTGTGAAGTTGTTGAGCTTCACATCAGCCCTCCTCTTCAGTTTTCGGGTTTGGGGTCTATTGTTCCTCCGATGATAACTTTGACTGCCACCTGCATGATGTTGCAGGTGAATTTCGTAGATTACTCCACCAGTACCACTACGAGCACTGCCCTTGTCAGGAAGGTTACCTTCATCTTCTGGGGTGCATCGTGAAAGATGAGCCCTTCTTGTGCAGAAGCACCGCAAGCACCGCTAATCAGGCATGACTAAAGAGCTTCACCCTTGAAGGCACCGCACCCTTCGCTGGGCTCTTGCTCTCTATCTTTGTAAGCTCTGTAAGAAGAAAGCCCGTCGTTCGGAACCCTGCGCCTGCGATCCGAAACCCTGCGCGCTGATGCCTGCGCCAATGCAGTTGCTCTAAAGTCTGAAACCCCAAAACCCCAAAGCCCTAATCCTGAAACCGGAAACCCCAAAACCCCAAAACCCCCAAAACCGTAAACCCTGAACCCAAAAATGTGGCCGCATGGCCCAGGGACCGACAGTCAGGAACTGTAAACTCCACACTCCGAATGCCAAAGCCTAGCCGATTAACAGGGGGCGTTTGGGGTTGATATTGATAGGTTTAGGGTTTGAGGGTTTGTTTACGGTGTTACTGGAGGGGTCGGATTAGTTGTTACGTAACATTATTCACATATAGTCCACATTGCCTATTATTATACATCATAATTACCACTGCCCTTGTATCACACCACGACAAGGTCGAAATCTAGATCGAACAAAACACACTCAAAAAACCCACGCCGAAGAGCTAAAGACCCGAGGCTTGAAAGGAAGCCAAAACACCGCTGATGAATTAAATACCTGAACCTTACGCCTGACTTTAAAAATGTCAACGCCAAACCCGATTGCTCCTTAAACCCTAAACCCTAAGCCCTAAGCCCTACACCATTAACAATACTAAACCCTAAACCTGGTGCGGGACAGGAAGCCAAGGCTGAGAGTGCTTCTGCCTCCACGGACGATGACGATGACGACACTTGCATGCTTGAGCTTGTCTTAAACCCTACTGAAAGGGTTTAGGGTTTAGGGCTTCGGGGTCCTAAACCCTNNAGCCTCCATTGTAGTTCCTTTTTGCGTTACCCTAAAATCCTAAATCGACAGGTGGTCAAAACCAAGAAAAGGAACTACTATCGAGACTCCGGGTAAACCTCAAATCATGAACCCCTGCACCCTAAAACGTAGGACTTATCGGCTGCTTGGAGGGTTCCGGGTTTCGGATGTTTGGCTGGCGGTGATTCTTGAGTGTTGAAACGTTTAGGCTGTTTCGACATTGCTTGACGACATTGCTTTGGAACGACTTCACGTTTCCAGCCAAGGCTCTGTGAGAACGCCCCACAGACTCAGAAGCACTGAGAAGTGCACATCAAGCTTCCGAAAAGCCGTAAAGGTTCTAAACCCTAAACCTTATAGCCTAGACATCCCGAAACCCAAAACCGCTCAACCCATAAACCCCTACCCCTAAACCCTAAAA